AGTATGGACACAGACATACCAGCCACGGCTTGTGTCGTTCATGTGTGAATTGTAAGTAGGGGAGAGATGCTGCAGGGCCCACAGAATGTGGCCCAGAAGAGCCTGAAGAAGTGACATTTGAGAAGAATACTTAATGATCCTGTGAAAGACAGAATAGAAGTGCACATATGTCCCTGGGGCAGAAGTGAGTTCCATGTGTCTGAGGAATAGGAGAGGCGGCCAAAGGGACAGCTGAGGTCAAATCAAGTAGGACTTTGTAGAATGTGATTTTAACACATAGGATGTTTGAATGTAATTTTTTACAGGGAAAAGGCCAAGAAAGTGATTTTGGAATATGCTGGTGGGAGATGGTGATGATTTGGGGTAGGGTACTAATAGAGGAGGTAATGAGACCTGGTTCAATCCAGGCTGTACATTGAAAGCAGAGCCTGTGTAATTTTTTAGATAAAGAATTATATCATCTGTAAACAGGGATAGTTTGACTTCTTCTCTTCCTATTTTGATACCTTTTATTTCTTTCTCTTGACTGACTGCTCTGGCTAGGACTCCCAACACTATGTTAAATTGGATGGTGAGAAGGGGGCATTTTTATCTCGTGCTGATTTTCAAGGGGAATGCTTCCAGCTTTTACCCATTCAGTATGAGGTTGGCTGTGGGTTTGTCATATACGGCTCTTATTATTTTGAAATATGCTCCTTTGATGAAGGGATGTTAAATTTTATCAAATGCTTTTTTTTTGCATCTATTGATATAATTATTAGTTCTGTTTATGTGATGACTCACATCTTTTCATTTACATATGTTGAATCAATCTTGCATCTCAGGAATAAACCTTGGTCTATGTTCATCAAAGAAAATTGGCCTGAAGTTTTATTTTTTTGAGTGATTGTATAATTTTGAGGATTTTCTTAGTATTGATTTCTATTTTTATTGCACTGTGGTTAAGTGGTGTGGTTGGTATAATTTTTTTTTAACTTGCTGATCATTGTTGTGTGTCTGATCATGTGGTTAGTTTTGGAGTGTGTGCCATGTGGCAATGAGAAGAATCTACATGTTATTGTTTTCAGGTGGAGAATTCTGTAGATGCCTGTTAGGTCTATTTGGTCAAGTGCTGAATTCAGGTCCTGTATATCTTCATTAATTTTCTGCCTCGGTGATCTGTCTCATACTGCCAGTGGAGTACAAAAATCTCTAAGAACTTGCTTTGTGAATCTGGGTGCTCCTTTGTTGGGTACATACATATTTAGGAGAGTTAGGTCTTCTTGTTGAATTGAACCTTTTACCATTATATAACGCCCTTCTTTATCTTTTTGTATCTTTGTTTGTTTAAAGTCCATTTTCTCTGAAATTAAAATTGCAAATCCTGTTTTTTTTCCTGTTTACTGTTTGCTTAGTAGATTTTTCTCCACCCCTTTATTTTGAGTCTGTGGATGTCACTGCATGTGAGATGGGTCTCTTGAAGACAGCATACAATTGAGTCTTGCTTCTTTATTCCGCTTACCACTCTGTGTCTTTTATTTAGAGCCTCTAGCACACTTACATTCAAAGGTAATCTTGATATGTGCAGATATGATCTGTTATCATGTTGTTAGCTGGTTATTATGCAGACTTGTTTTTGTGACTGGTTTATGGTACCACTGGCCTGTGTGCACTTACATGTATTTTTGCAGTGGTAACAGATTTTCCTTTCCATATTTAGTGCTTCTGGTTGGAACCTTTTCTAATTCAGGATTGGTGGTAACAAACTTCAAGTCATAAGATTTGGGTAAACATTTGAAAGTATTTTCCTCTATCTAATGACATATAATACTACATGATAGAGTGTAAGACATGGACAGATTATTATTTCACCACTTGCTCTCACTAAAATACATATAATCTCTTCAAGAGAGTGTGACAGTTTAGTTTAATGAAACCACAATAAATGTGTTGATGATGCTATAAAATATCGATTATGTAAATATTAACTATATGATAGCTTTAGATAATATCATTGTGCGTAGAAAAAGGCACTAAATCATCCATTACTTGAGCTGCAGGCTTTGTCTTCTGCAGTTAGCAACCACGCATTGTCACCATCCGTCTCAGCACACATATCCCCTTACCTCATCAATTCACTCATGTCGCCATTGTACACACCAAGACAATACTCTGTTCTGTTCTGACTTCTCCCAACTCATAAAAAGTAATTTACTGGTTCTTTCTCTCCTCCAGCTCAATCACGTGTCATTTATATAATTTTCCAATTGTTTCATGTGGGTCATAGGAGCTCCATATTAGTCAAAATATTTTTGTTAACTAGCCAAAAAATGTGGCCCTTTTAAAATTTCAGGTTAAGTACCCTGTTTGGGGTTGGTACAGAGAGAACAGGCAGGGAAATGCCCCCTTGGCTGGAAGAAGGGGAAAGAATTGAGTACACGATATAAAAGTAATTACTCCCTTGCTGCAGAGTATACAGAGAGAAAGTAAGGGCAAAGAATTACTAAAAAGGAATTTCGTGCTTCAGTGACCCTGTTAGATACCTGCTAAGACCTTTAGCTTCCTCTAATATTTCCAACTAAACCTCAACAACAATAAAGAGAAATCTAAGAAACGGTGGGAATTATGTTAGAACTGCGCATTTTTGTCTTCAATGTCACTGTAGCTGTTATTCCCTGGCAGCTTAATTGTAACTAATTAAAATCTAGTTAAATGGAGAGACAGCATTAAAACCTTCTGCTTAGTTTTCTGCCCTCGATGGTCACAGTCGGTGTTTATATCTTCTCAGAGAAAAGGAAGTTTGAATTCTACAATCACTTGGAATTTTACTTCGATTTGTTTATTTTTGTTTCCAAATAATTTACACAGATTTTGACGTTATGCTGTGGACTCTGCAAACCCCTGTCAGTGCTCACTGCCAGGTCAGCCACTGCATCCACTCAAGGCAGAATAAAGCCCATCCATTACTCTGGTAGCTCTAATTGCAGGATAGCCAGAGGGTAACCATTTGGTCTATAATTAGGTCATTTCTCTCTCATCCCCTGCAAGTGTGTATAATTATAAATTAATTTAAAATCCCACTGTGAGAAAAGAAATTTGCTATAATATAAAAGGAAAGACAAAAGCTGCAGGAAGCATGTCTTTAAAAGCATTTTTTGGTGTTTCCTTCAAAATTGATCCTTGAAATTAAGTTTTTCGTTCTACTCTTCATTTTCCTAGCTAGGAGCTTTATCATTGTCCATTTCAATTTTGGTTTGTTTTAATGTTACACCACAGTCTTAAGATGTTCATGTGTCCTGCAGAATTTATAGTAGAAGATCAAAACTATTCTTTGGGGAAGTAAAACCCATTGAGAGGCTGGCCTTTGAGTGACGCTGAAAGGTGTGGTACTGTGCAGGTGCTGACAGGATGACTTGTTATGTTCCACTCTAAAGGGGCCACGCTTGGGCTCTTTTAACACTTGCCTTTCTGTTTTCACAATAAAAAATAGTATGTGTAATACCAGGTGAGTAAAACATTAGAAAACAAAACCCTGCTCACTGTAGATCCTACAGGAGTTGTTCTTTTCATCTGTTTCGCTGAGCTGCTATCCCATTTGACTTCCATTATTCCAAACTCGAGTTAAATGCATTGCCCTGTGCATTTTTGGAGAGATGCTACAGGTGAAAACATGCATGTCTGACAACAGATTAATCTCAACCAAGCTTTTGAGGCAATGTTTTGACTTGCTAGACTTCCCATTTCTGTCGGGGAATCAACCTCTTTTGTGAACTCGGGCAAAACATGCCAGGTGTTGCCTGAGTAAAAGCGCATAAAACTTAAACTCCGTATGTGAGCTGCTTAGTTTCTAAAACCGGAAGAAATGAGAGAGACCTACACAGATGAAGAAAGATATTTTGCCATCAGATAAAGACAAGGTGCTGTCTTTGAGTCATTTCTCTAAGAGTATTTTGAGGCATTCATTATGATTCCTACAGTAATGTGAAAAAAAATTTTTTTTAAAGTTAGATTATTTTGTTATTTCACAAAACCCTTCCTATTCTGACATCCCACTTGGAGGATAACACCAGGAACATGCCACATTTGTAAATTCTTTGTGTTTACCCTCAGAGGTGGTGCTGTTATGATTCCTTTTTACAGATGAGAAAAGCGAGACCCGAGAGGTTAAGCAATATGTGTGAGGCCTGCCCAAGAGGTAATTGGAGCTCAGTACTCGTGATGTGGGAGTGCTGCTCTCAAGGCACAGTGTTATATTGGGAAAAGAGGAGTAATGGAAGGCCAGGTGGGTGCCACACTTTGCCAGCCTGGGAACCGACAGGGCAGGAAAGGCCTTGACTAATATTCTGTATGAGCTCGCCAACTACTTTTGGACTGGGTTTAGCAGTATGTTCTTAGAGCTGGTGGTGAATGTGCTTTAGTTTTCCATTCAAAAGGATGTCTGCAGCTACGGAATCTTTAAAGATGTTTTACACCAGCAGGAAATGTCATGGCTAAAAGCTGAAGAACCAACTTCTGATCAAAGTCGAGTCTTTAATTTGTGTTTATTTGGCAACCAAATGAAAGTGAAAAAGGGAATGTTATTGAAATCACTCGCATCATTAAAGGCTTTAAATTATTAGCAAGATAGCCTGTCATGAAAATAAGTGATAAAGAGAATTTTAACAAACACAGAGAGGAAAAAATCCATACAACAACAAATAAATTACAACACCCAATTTTGAAAAAAAAATACATAGCCTTCAATTTTCCACTTTCAAAAAACCATAAATCCCACTTCTATTGTTTAAACCTTTAAAGACATTTAGATTTCATTCATAAATAACACTGAACCTTATTTTTTATGAGAAACAAACCTAATGTAGTTTCTTCAAATCACTAACAATAGGGGTTGGCAAATTTCTTATGTAAAGGACCAGATGGTAAATATTTTAGGCTTTGTGGGCCACACAGTCTCTGTCAAAACTTCCCTATCATTGCAGCTCAAAAGCTGTCACTGGCGATATGTTAATAAATGAACATAGTTCTGTTCCAATAAGACTTTATTTATGAAAACAACTGGTAGGCAAGATCAGGCAGCCAGAATACAGATTGCCAGCCTTGGCTTTACGCCATAGAAAAATCAGATGCATTTTTTACCTCCTTCTAGAAAATAAGAATCTATTTATAAATCAAATTATTTCTTCAATATAATAATAACCAATAGACCATTTCTAATAATGTCAAGATTTTATCCAGTGGCATAACAACAGTTCTACAAATTCCCTCTAATTCCAATGTAATTAACATGAATTGTATTTCTCTGTTTTAAATATATGTATATATACTCAGATACAACCAAAGTTTCAGAAAACTAAGGGATACTTTCTAGTCGTCCACACAACTGTGAGATCTGAATAATTCTAGATGCTACATTTGAGTTCTTAAATGCTTTTATCACTGTGGCCTGTGAACACACGGACCATCACAGGGCAAGACAAAAAAATCACACCCATCTGACAGTAAAGTCAGCTATTAAGAAAATCATAAGAAAGAGAAAACGTAGCTACTATTAACGAAGTGGAAGTGGATTATCATAAAGGTCTTCATCCTCATCGTCTTCACCTTGAGTAGGCTGAGGAGGAGAAAGAAGAGGAACAGCTGGGTCTCCTGTTGGCAGAAGCAGAAGACAGTCTGCATATGTGAACCTGTGCAGTTCAAATTTGTGTTGCTCAAGGGTCAACTGTAATTTTAGGTGACTTTAACTTTGGTTATTACGTATTTATTTGAAATAAATTACTTAACCAAATAAATTAATTAACTGGTCAAGTCTCTCATTTAAAAATAAAATCACAGACAGCTCCATGCATGGCATCCAGCACTACCTTTTAATCTTCCTGCTCCCTCCCTCATGAAAATAGATTCACAGTTAGTATCCAAGCCAAGTTCAAGGACACACCAAACTAAACATGCTAAAACACCATCTCATTAAATTATGTCCAGGGAAAGAATGGAGAGGAATGAGGTGGTGAAAGTGTCTGGCTCGAGTGCGCATGCTCGTTTGTCTGCAGCCAGCTTCAGGTTTGGGACACCCAGGTTTCTTGTCCACCAAGAATGATTAAGAATTTAATGACTTCTTAATGAACGAATGGTTTGGAGAGTCCTGAACAAATTTATGAGACATGTCACTGCTTTATGTCTAAGATAAATCCTACTAGTAAGTAAAATTCTCCCAGACAACTGGAAAAATCCACTAATGGCTATCAAAAAAATAAACAGTCACAATGAAATATCCTGTTTAGAATCACGGACTGAAGTGCTTCAGTTCTCTTTTAACTAAATGGATTCCTAAAATAAGTATTTCCTAGCGTGAACTAATCCGAGTATATAAATATACCTAATGACTACGAACAAATTAGTTCTAAAAATGGTTAATTGACCTTAGAATCATGATTTCTTTTCCTCTTTTCTACCAAGCAGACAGAATACCATTTTTCTATTGCCACCTCAGAAAATGTCTATTCATCTCAAATCATATCACAGGATTTGGGGGGACAAAAACACTAGATTTTAACTTACATAACCAGTAAAGGCACCGAAAATAATGTAAAAGCAAGCATAAATCTATGACAGCTCCAAAGTGGGTGGGACTCATGCCCTCATATCGTTTGTGATGGTCAGCAATGTATGTGCACTCAGATTTAGGGCAGTTGTCTCTGGAGGATCATGACAAAAGCTTTGCTGCTAACACGAAAGTCTGCTCTTCCCTTCTTTTCTCTCTGCCCAGCTAGATCCAAGCCACAGCAGCTCAAGAGAACCCAGTAGGCTTGGGAACTCTGTAAATGCAGCAGGACACTCCTTATTCTATTGTGAGGAAAAACGATGTCTGGTGCAGGTCAGAATTCTTAGCTGGGCAGCTCAGCAGAGCCATCATGAAGCAGGGAGAGAGGATTTTAGAGGAAATGGCTAATTACTTAGGGTCCTGGCTCAATTTCCTACTACATTTACTGCTAATTAATGTTCTCTTCTTCATTTGTACAGATCTGGGTGAACTGGGGACTGTGAGGCACTTTCTGCTTTTCCTTCTGTAACTATCACCAACTTTTGCTGCTCCATTAGCAAATTGCCCTCCTGAGAATCTCTTTTCTGAAGGTTGGCTGCCTGGGCTATCTCGGTAGTCTTGACCTCGGGTATGACCTTTTGCAAAAGGACTCAGGGCAATAAGCTGTGATCAGTTAAAAACAACAAAATGGGGCTGTAGTAATGGATAAGGTTTCTTTTCTACTTCCTCCCTCTGTCTCCTTTATAAGGAAAGAAGATTATTTTTCAAGACTCTTATTTTTTTTCTGTTTCCTGAGCAGTTCATGTCAACAAGGCATATTTCTAGGAAAGTGCTCATCAGGAAGTAAATGCTTGTGAATTTGAAAATAATAACCGCACAGAGGGCTCATAGACAGCACTGAATGATGAGAGGGAGAGAGAAGAAAATTTTAAATACAATTATTTAGATGTTATGAAGATTTATAAAGATACCTTAAGCAAATATTAACTCCCTTGAATAGATGAGAAAATGATGGAGGCTTATTTCCAGGCATTATTTAATACTTCTAGATAATTGCTCTTTATGAAAAGAATAACAACTGTGATACAAGTTTATCATGCCAGAATTATAGCAAAGTAAACTTGTATCACAGTAGCACCCCTGAGCAGTTTTTTAAAATAAACTAAAGGGAGGCTTACTGACTGGTTTGTTTCAAAAATGCATTTGCATGGTGTGTGCGATGTGTTTCCTCTGTGTCCCTGCACAACATAAAACTCCACTCTTAGCCTTGGTGTGAACTGAATGTAATGAGTGCTCAGACATATGAGCGTTTCAACTGAAATAACATGGTTTTGAATCCAAGCTGTATTAAATTTACTTTCTGGAGCCAAGTCTATGAGCCAATGCTGTCAGTTATGAAATCTGGATTAGAAGAAGTTGGAAAGTGGAGCAAGAAATTAATTAAAATAAGGCTGCAAAAATACAGAGGGGAAAACAAAAAGATGTTCTTAAAATACTAAGTCTTAAATACTGCCTATGGAAACATAGGTCCCTCCCCACCCCGCCCTTCCCCTCCCTTCCCCTCCCCTCCCCTCCTCTCCTCTGCTCCTGTCTGTCTGGTTATACTCACATTATAAAGGGCTCATCCTGAGCTCTATGGACTGCCCAGGGTGAGCCCTCTATAATGTGAATAAAACCACACAGACAGGATGGTAGCATGCAGATCGTGGATTTTCTCATCCAGCTCATGGGACCAGGTGAGTGACTGAGGACCTGCTACTCCACCTAAAGCATCAAAGCCCATTGGTAGGAGGCTACATTATCATGGGTTTGCCACAAGTCACTTATTTGGGCTGGTTCAAATAAATAACCAAACTTCGGCTACCTTAAATAAATAAACCCAACTTCCTGGATTAAATATTTTGTTTTGTTTTGTTTCACCATGAATGTATTGCTCCTGGGATCCTTAATACAGACTTCAGAAGAACATGGACATCTCTGGAGAAAAAAGTGTGTAAAATTTGCAGGTTTAGGGGCATTCATATATAAATATTAATGACACAGCTACAATTAAGACAACAGTGGAAGGTGGCTCAGAAAACAAAAGGAGACTGTGTTTAGGAGAAAGAAAGGAAAAAGAACACAAGTCTCTTCCTGGTAATCCAGAGGATTCTCCTGGATCTTGTCCAAGACCATCAGAGTGGTACTTCTATGAGTCTGCAAGAACCACAGCATTACTAGGCTTGGATATCTCCTAAAGTAGACACAGCTTAGATCACAGCACCCAAGTTCTTTCAAATATCTGAAGCCTTCTAAAGAGGGACATACAAATAAGCCCAGACAGTGAAGACAACAATAAACACCTAATTCTTCAATGCCCAGACACCAAAGAACATAAATTAGGATCAACATCATCCAGGAAAACATGACCTCACCAAGTGAATTCAATAAGGCACCGGGGACGAATCCTGGAGGAACAGAGATATGTGACCTTTTAGACAGATAATTTAGAATAGGTGAGTTGAGGAAACAAATCAATTCAAGATAACACAGAAAAGGAATTCAGAATTCCATCAGACACATTTAACAAAGAGAGTAAAATAATTTTAAAAGAACCAGTCAGAAATTCTGGAGCTGAGGAATGTAATTGGCTTAATGAAGAATGCATCAGAGCCCTTTAATAGCAGAATTGATTAAGCAGAAGAAAAAATGAGTGAGCTTGAAGACAGTCTATTTGAAGATACACAGTCAGAGGAAATAAAAGGAAAAAATGAAGCACGCCTACAGGCTCTAGAAATTAGCCTAAAAAGGGCAAATATTTGACCTTACAGAAGAGGTAGATAAAAAGATATGAGCAGAAAGTTTATTCAAAGGAATAATAGCGAGAACTTCCCAAACCTAGAGAAAAAATATCAAATATCCAAGTACAAGAAGGCTATAGAACGTCAAACAGATTTAATCCAAAGACGACTACTTCAAAGAATTTAATAATCAAACTCCCAGAGGTCAAGGATAAAGAAAGGATCCTAAAAAGAGCAAGAGAAAATAAACAAATAATGAAGCTCCCATATGTCTGGCAGCAGACTTCTCAATGGAAACCTTATGGACCAGGAGAGAGTGACATGACATGTTTAAAGTGCTGAAGATAAAAAAAAAAAAGAAACACTTTTACCCTAGAATAGAACATCCAGCAATAATATCCTTCAAACATGGAGGGGAAATAAAGACTTTCCCAGACAAACAAAAGTTGAGGGATTTCATCAACGTCAGACCTGTCCTACAAGAAATGTTAAAGGGAGTACTTCAATAGGAAAAAAAAGAACAGGCTGGGCGTGGTGGCTCAAGCCTGTAATCCCAGCACTTTGGGAGGCTGAGGCAGGTGGATCACGAGGTCAAGAGATTGAGACCATCCTGGTCAACATGGTGAAACCCCGTCTCTACTAAAAATATAAAAAATTAGCTGGGCATGGTGGCGCATGCCTGTAATCCCAGCTACTCGGGAGGCTGAGGCAGGAGAATTGCCTGAACCCAGGAGGCGGACGTTGCGATGAGCTGAGATCGCGCCATTGCACTCCAGCCGGGGGAACAACAGCAAAACTCCGTCTCAAAAAATAAATAAAAAACATTTAGTAGCACAAGAGTAAGAGACATTCTTTAGGGCCTTTTTCTTGCAAACCAAAATGACATGGGCACTCAAGTCAGGCATGCCTTGCCTTCAATCTCTTCTCAACAATTAAAACCTATGCCATCATGGGCGACTCACTTTATTTCATGAGTTACAATGTCTTTATCCAAAAGGCAAATACAACAATGGTTAACTTGCAATGTCATTGGGAAGGTTAAACAGTGTAATGTGTAATATAACGTCGAATAAATAGTAGACTGTCAAGAAAGGCCACAGGCCTTCACATAGTGGGAGTAGATACCATAAAATTGGAGAAGAAACTTACATTTATATGTCAAAAAAGACTTCTCTTATGATTTTACTCAAAACACATTACAGATGTTCTAAGAGGATAGGAAGTCCTTGACAATTAATTGCAAGCCATCCTGAGCTTAAAGAAAGAATCTTTCAGTAAAAGGGGAAATTTCACTTTGAAATAATGCAGACTAATTATACCATCTTTCCATATTACTTAAGAACCAACTGATATAATCAGGAGAAAGCATACATGTGGGAGGTTTATTTTTCAAAAAAATATACAAATATGTGGTTAAAATTGTTTATTTTAAATAAAAATATTTATCTCAGTAGTTAGGATATTAATGAGTATACTTAATATAAGACATTTTCTCCAGATTTCAATACTACAAATAAAACTGTATTATTCTTCGTTATATTAACTTCTTTTTGTCTTATTATTATTTTATCACTGCCACTACTGTGATCAATTTAAATAACTTGTAGGAACCTAGGAACACATGCTGAATATAGTTTCTTAATCATTTTATGAAAACATTTTAACAACTAAATATATCTAATATTTTAATCAAGTATGTTGCTCATATTCCTGAATTCCTAAAACGGATCTTCCTTTTAGAGTTCTAATTTTCCCCATCCCAGGCAAGGCTGCCCTTGTCCACGAGTAGGGTGAGAAGCCATCTCCTCTCTCGGTGAATGAGGAAAGCTGCCACCCAGGAAGGTCATCTTTGTCTAAAATTCTCTCCTAGTGTTAAACTTTTCACTTCTTTATTGATGGTGACTAGGAAAGCACTAATGTTATCTTCAAGGCATTACATGTTGAGTCATCGTGGGTCCTTTCCTACCAAAGTGTGATACCTGAGGAAATGGATTTGGGAGGGAAGGAAAGACAGAAAGGCTAGCAGTAGATGCTGCAGGCAATGGGCAAGGGCAGGTCCTGCTCAGGAGCACAGGACTTCCTTCAGGGAAGAGCCCAGTACCCTGGGATATGGCTGGAGGGACCTGAAGGAAACCCAGTCTATTTCACAATTTAGCCTTGGGCCAAAGCAGAGCCACTGATGTCCTTCCTTCCCGCCACAGCCCAGAGAGCACCTTCCACTGATGTATCTGCCTTGTCTCAGGCGGGTGGGAATGTGAGTGTTACCTATGTCTGCCTCCTTTTCCTGAAACTAAGCTCACAGCTTGGTGCTCAAATTATTTGACTAGGCCTGTAAACCTTAACAGTTACTGTGGAGTTAACATCATTGAAAAATTGAACTATTTAGCTGCAAGAAATCTATAACCTACTTTGTGTTCAGCCTCTAGGCAATAAGAGCCTCCTGACAATTCTAAGTAGTAGCCTTGACCCTTTTCTTACAGAGTTCTAGATAAGGAGATTTAAAAGCTTCTCTTTTCAGTCTTTTACTCCCTTATTTCCAGGAAAACCTTCTTACCAAAAAAAAAAAAAAATCCTTCTGGTACAATTTAAACCAATTTCTTTTGTCTGGAGGTCAAGTGAAACCAGGTAAATTGCTTGAGAGTATAAACCTTATAGGCTTATGGGACGTTCATAGTATTGGGAGGATCCTTAGTGAACATTTAGTTCATCTCCTTTCTTTTGCAGCTAAGGATTAAAATACCGGGATGTACAGTAACTTGAGCAAACACACAGAGTCAATTAATCATAGCTCTCCTGAGCTTTAGTCAAATGCAAATATAAATAATTCTAAGACATTAAAAACTTATTGGAATTATGAAGCTAGTAAAACAAAGAAAAATAGTAAAATAGAGAAATTCAAACAATCTGAACAGGTTTGATCAGGACTCAGACTGCCTGGGTTCTATTCCTGGCTCTTCCACTTATTAGTGTGATCTTGATCTTGGGGAAGTTATTTCATCTGCCCTTCAGTTTACTCATCTGCAAAATGGTGTCAATGATAGCACCAACCGTAGAGAATTGTTATAAAGATTAAATGAGCTTACGCATGGCAATAATAGCTAATGTGTTTTTACATGTTCAGCATCTTTTCAATTGCTCTGTCTGTACTAAATTTTCACAGCAAATCCTTGATGTAGATACTGTGGTTCTCCTCAAGGAACTTACCAACGCACCAGGTATATAGTGAACGATCAATAAAGCTTAGTTGAGGACATCATCACATTGTCGTTAGCATTAGTGTTTGGTGATTTACATGAAGATTGTACTTCAAACTTTCTTGAGCAGATTGGTTTGCTTTTATGGTACTTCCAACCCAGAGTTGTTGGCAGCTCAGAAAAGGGAAACAAGTAGAAGAAAATCTCACCTTAAAAAAAAATCGTCTGCCCAAAGAAAAACCACAAACGGAATTCCAAAGCCAAATGTAAATGGCATCGATATTACCCACTCTTTGGAATCATCTCCACAATGCTCCCTTTCATTATGTAGATAATCACACACACACACACACACACACTTTTTCCCCCACTCACCAATAAAAACCACAAAAATTTCAATAACTTACTGTAGTATTAAAGGTCATGAAACACTTGAAATTCACATTTTTTTTTTCCGAAATGCTCTTGTGACTCATGACAACTCATTAAGGGTCCATACATGTCCAGACTGGGCCTGCATGTGGGCAATGAGCAGCTTTCACTGGCTGCCTCTTTAGCATGCATCACCCACAGCTGTGGACTGGTCAGTCTAGAGGGAGGGTGCATCCCTGCAGAGAGGACGTTTCATGAGACTTCCTGCCATTTCTCGCTGGCTTTTATTGTGAGATATAGGGCTGTAACCCAAAGCGCACAAGGATTAGAGATGTCATTTTATGTCAATTTTAAGACCAGATACAACAAAAACCCAGAATAGCTACAGCATCGTTTGTCTGACGTGACACTTAGAAGGGAAGATGCACCAGTCACATCAAACAATCGCCTTTTTGGGTAGGTTTTTCCTTATCCACTCAAATTGGCAGCAGTTCTTACTGGGAATTTCATACGCCGCACAACGTACTTTTTGCAAGAGAGCAGTTCTTTCCCACAAATGGGTAAATGTTACTTTGAATGGATGAGTATAACTTAGAAACTACTGGGATCCCAGAAAAAGAAAGCTAAGAGTATTAGAATGGGTAACACCACTAGCTCAAACCCGGTTTCCAAATGGTTATACCTACTTAACACTTACTGAGTTGTTTTAGAAAGTAGGCAGTAAATTTAATTTTCAAAGACTGACCAATTTCAAACAATATGCTCATACAAAGAATAAACAGAAAGAAATGTGTTGAGTAGTCAGCATTGTATTATAAAGAGGATTCTTGCAGAATACAAAAATTTCACAATAATACATTACTTTCCTTTATTAAACACTTCCCATATTTCAGGAAAATTGCTTTGTGCTTTATATATGATGGTTCATCTAAGTCCTTTAAGCAAAAATAAGAACATTAGGTTGAGAAGAACTAAAGTATGCTGCCTACATCACATAACAAGAAAGTGTCACACCCAGGATGGAAACTTTCCTTACCTTGATGCTAAAGATTGCATTCTCCCCTAATGTTCATTCTCACAGTGTGGGGAACACATTTCCTATAGGCTAGAGCACATGCCAAACATAGGCTTAATATGGTACAACTTTCCAGCATTTTACGATAGCTATGGGGAGACAGCTTTTTAAGTGTATATAATTTTAAAGTAGCCCATCAAAGGTATTTCTGCAAAATTCCCACTTCGTAGTTCCAGACAATATAAATGCTTGTTTTCTTGTAAACCCTGGGAACATGAAAAGGTTATATGTAAAGGGGGATTTGAAAAGCTGGTGACTTGTGTGTTCAGCTGATGCCCAAGTGGAAATGTTAGTACTTCTTATTCTTAGAAAGTGAGTGGAGGATCACAAATTGGTAATTAAATGAGTGTTTTAATTTTTTTTTTTTTTTTTGAGACGGAGTTTCGCTCTTGTCACCCAGGCGGGAGTGCAATGGTGCAATCTCTGCTCACCGCAACCTCCACCTCTTGGGATCAGGCAATTCTCCTGCCTCGGCCTCCTACGTAGCTGGGATTACAGGCACGCGCCACCGTGCCCAGCTAATTTTTTGTGTTTTTAGTAGAGACGGGGTTTCACTGTGTTGACCAGGATGGTCTCGATCTCTTGACCTTGTGATCCACCCGCCTCGGCCTCCCAAAGTGCTGGGATTACAGAAGTGATCCACCGCTCTTGGCCGAGTGTTTTAATTTTAAAGCCTTTTTAGTTTTAGAAAACAACATTAGATGCCACAAACCCGGTCAATCTTATAACCAATTAACAAAATATATATTGACTATGTTAAGCTTTGTTTCTTACCACAGGATGATCCTTGATAACTCATAAATACTAAAAGTTTTAAGGCCTATGATTTTCATGTTATTCTCCACTTGGTATCTTTAAGGTAAAACAATTTTTTAAAATAGATTTTCAAATGATAAGAGGTTTGGCAGATAAACACTGCGAGTTTAAAGTACAGTATTGATACCAAGAAAGGCCACAGGCGTCTGAATCAGCCCAAGTGAGACACATGGTGCAGATGGAATACTATGCAGCCAGAAAAAGAATCACACATCCTTCACAGCAACTTGGTTGGAGCTGGAAGCCCTTATCTTATGGCCTTAATTAACACAAAAGCGGAAAATCGAATACCACATGTTCTCATTTATAAATGGGAGCTAAGCAATGGGAACATACGGACATAAACATGGAAACAGCAGACACTGGGACTCCAAAAACGGGGAGGGGGGAGAGAGAAAAGAGTTGAAAAATCTACATTTTGGGTATTGTCTTCACTATTTAAGTGATGGGTTTAATAGAAGCCCAAACACCAGCCCTACACAATATACCCTTAACAAACTTGTACATGTACCCCTGAAACTAAATTTTTTAAAAAGAGAGATACCTGGCATGGTTGCTGATTCTCCCACAGTGTACTTGAGCAGAAAAATGACCCATTGCCTTGGGTACCACAAACATTGAAACAGCAAGACATAAGATACACCTCTAAGTTAACTGAAAATATTAATCATATTAGTGTGAAGATTAGAATGAGTAAACATCTTGATGTTTATAATGCAAAAAAGGAAAAATAAATTACTCTGAGCAATAATTCTATGAAATTGTCATTCTTGCAGCAAGTTTAAAACAAATCATGGACATTTGAGGGGGAAATCAACAGATTGTCTACAGTTAAAAAAGAGAGAGGTCTTAGCTAGGGCCAAGACAAAGAAGAACGCATCAAACTATACACTATAAAATGCTCATGGTCTGTTTGATGACCATTTTCAGAACCACCTTGAAAGGTGACATGAAAGAAGAGACAATTAGGTAAAGTCCTACCTTTAGATGGGAAAAAAACTTCTTCTTTTGGCAAAAAGGGACAGGAAAACTAAAGAAAACAAATAACTTGCCTCACACAACATTGCCAAGTAATGCAGTTTCAAACGTCCAAGGGTACAGTGGAATTGGTTGAGAGATTTTAGCCTCTTAAGTAAGTTAACATATATGATATTTTTTATTTGTTTACTACATTTACAATGGTTTTATCTATAAAGATATGTTAATTAAAAATATTTATAGCATTTTTTTCTTTCAATTTTAACAAGATACACACCTATGTGAATTTTTTTTTTCAATCTAGTATGATTCACTAGAATGTACAGATGTCTGCAGGGACAGGGGAAAATCTACCAATGGTTAGAACTCCGTGAGTTATTGCTTACATTGAAGCCATAGGAAACTCTGCTTTTGTCAGTGACTACTGCACTCCCTCACCAAGAACATTTCTTTCAAATGGTTTGTTCATGATATTTCTTTCTCAGTTTGTTCTTTGAGTTGGGAAAACTTTACCACAATAAAAAACTACTAGTTTGCATATGTGTTTGTTAGAAAATTTGAATTAAAATGGAAATGTACTTTGGAATCTTTCCCTACACATATTTCCTGGTAGAATCAGAAGGAGGTGTTAAAATAATTTTTGAACTGAGATTTATTCATTATTTGTCTTTGTGGAGTGTAAGAAAGATAAGGAAAAAAAAAATGAAATCTTGGAAAACGTGTTTGTTGACCCAGAGCTGGCCTGTTCAGACCTATTCTTAAGGCTGAATGCCCTGAATCAAGGTGTGCATCAACTGTCCAAGGCTACATTGCTATAGGGATGAAAAATTGGATGAAGAAATTTGAACTTGTTGGGAGGCCGAGGCGGGTGGACCACAAGGTCAAAAGATCGAGACCATCCTGGTCAACATGGTGAAACCCCGTCTCTACTAAAAATACAAAAAATTAGCTGGGCATGGTGGCGTGTGCCTGTAATCCCAGCTACTCAGGAGGCTGAGGCAGGAGAATTGCCTGAACCCAGGAGGCGGAGGTTGCGGTGAGCTGAGATTGCGCCATTGCACTCCAGTCTGGGTAACAGTGAGACTCTGTCTCAAGAAAGAAAGAAAGAAAGAAAGAAAGAAAGAAAGAAAGAAAGAAAGAAAGAAAGAAAGAAAGAAAGAAAGAAAGAAAGAAAGAAAGAAAGAAAGGAAGGAAGGAAGGAAGGAAGGAAGGAAGGAAGGAAGGAAGGAAGGAAGGAAGGAAGGAAGGAAGGAAGGAAGGAAGGAAGGAAGGAAGAAAAAGAAATTTGAACTCGGAGATTATGAATTATTGGTGACTCTTGATTTGATGCATGTTAAAATGTTTGTGATAAAACTTAAAAAGTGAAACAGGGCAGGGCGCGGTGGCTCAAGCCTGTAATCCCAGCACTTTGGGAGGCCGAGGCGGGTGGATCACGAGGTCAAGAGATCAAGACCATCCTGGTCAACATGGTGAAACCCCGTCTCTACTAAAATACAAGAAATTAGCTGGGCATGGTGGCGCGTGCCTGTAATCCCAGCTACTCAGGAGGCTGAGGCAGGAGAATTGCCTGAACCCAGGAGGCGGAGGTTGCGGTGAGCCGAGATCACGCCATTGCACTCCAGCCTGGGTAACAAGAGCGAAACTCCGTCTCAAAACAAACAAACAAACAAACAAACAAACAAAAAAACCACTAAGAGGCATGAAACTCAAATGCCCTCAGAGAGACATAATGAATGCCGTCTACAGGCCTTTACCTTTCTTGGAGGATTGGGATCAGCTGAATTTTGTCCTAAGGTCACCGGTTGGTAACCCTGTATTCCAGCATGCCCCAGGCCTGCAAGCTTTTTGGGCATCTCTCTTGGGTGCTTATTGTGACTAAGGTTAGAAGGTAACAGAAAATGTTTGCTGACCCTTGGTGTCACACATTTTGAGGACCCTAAATCGCATAATAGGCAATTGATACTATCTATTATGCGAACTAGGATTCTTAAGGCTGAATGCCCCGAATCAAGGTATGCATCAACTGTCCATGGCTACGCTGCTGCAGGGATGAAAAATTGGATGAAGAAATTTGAACTCAGAGATTATGAATTATTGCTGACTCTTGATTTGATGCATGTTAAGTTGCATAATAGGCAATTGATATTACCTATTATGTGAACTAGGATCCTCGAAATGTGTGACACCAAGATAGAACAGAGTCAGTCTGGATTACTGACTTGTTACTGAGAATTAGCTCCATATATGAAGGTACAATTTTCTGAATTTGCCAGTAAAATCTGCATTGAAATGCATTGTCTTCGAAAAAGGACATTTAATGAAATCAACCACTGTTCAGCTATTATCCAACAAGAAAATTTAGTTTTG